ATTCCATATACAGCAAAAACACATCTAATCATAACTCTGGTCTAATGCTCTCTTTGATATGATAAGGGCGGGGTGGGGGGGCTAAAAAAATCTGTTAATCCTGTTATGATTACCATTGTTAGCCTTAAAAAAAAATTAAATAAAGCAGCATCCTCTGTTGCAAGTGTGGAGAACTCATGCCAATGGTAGGAATGAACATCATGGAAAGCATCTCTGTAACCTTGTGGTAGACCCTGAATTTACCCCATGGAGTAAATACCCTCTGGAATTATGGGATATTTTGTTGAAATTTGGAGATTATCAAGAGCAAATGATGGGTACCCCACACAGAAAGCATACTGTAACTTAAATAAAAATTAAGGATATATATTCATTTGCACAACTTCAGCCTGTGGGCAATACAGCCTTAAAGTGCTCTGAGCCCCTCACCAGGCAATGTAAATCTTGGTGGCTCAGGAGCTGAATCTGACACTTGACAATTGCATATGTTAATTTTTACCTATTTGCATTCAGCTGGCAGTCAGTTGTTTTTTTTTTTTTAAAAAAAAACCATTTTCTATTTTTAAACAAGTGACTGTTTGAAATCCACCACAGTGCAGCGAGGGCTTGATTGCAGGCTGAGGGTTGAAAGATACAGCAACAGCACTTTTAACAGTACGTTAACGATGATGAGTAGAGCCAAAATGTATGGATTTAATTAGAGAAAAACAGTTACAGCTCTTTCTCATTGTCATTAATTTATGCAGTTAGCCAACGAAATTCAAAAAAATGTCCAGTTATATTTGGATGCACCCTTCACACAACTATTCCTGTTTTTGTTGCGCGTCCACACCCGTTAAAAGGATTTTTAAATCATTGCTCTGTACTTGGCTGTGAAATGCCTGATTTCAGATGTTCTGGGCAGGCCCAGAGTGCCCGAGGAGCTGTGGCCAGCCAAGGGACCCCTGTCTCAGCAGCACTGTCTGCCATCACCTGCACTGCACCAACAAACCGTAACATCCAGGGCAGTCACTCCCAGCCCTGCCAGAAAGGAAAGGGCGTGCTCAAAATACTTCAGGCCTTGCCCTTGCTTATTGTTTTTGGAAAGTCTTTTGTTTTCTTCTTTTGGCTTTGGGGTTTTTTTGTTGGTTTTGTTTTGTTGGGTTTTTTTTTTTTTGTTCAACCCACTAGTTAATGTTCATTTGTGCTGGGCACAATAAAAGCCTGAGCCTGTCAGTTTATATCAGACGAGGGGAGGAGCAGTTGGTGATGTTTGAAATATTTTAGACTTTAGAAAAATTCTTGTAGGTGTATTTGCTGTGTTAAAAAAATAGATTGCTCCTAGTAGTTTATAAATAAATTGATGTCTCCTAGCAGTTTATAAATATATACATATATAAAAATATATCTATAAATACATATATATATATATATATATAAAATATATATATATATATTCCCACATATCCTTTTAATGTGCTTTGATATGTATATAAGAATGAGGTTATGCTAAATAAAGCCTCCTAAAACTTAAAAAGGGGGAAATCCCAGGCACTGCAGACCTGCCCAGCCCTACCTTGTTGGGTACAGATTTCCACATGGTTATTAGGGAATGGCAGGAACTGGCTGTGACCTGGCAGTGGCTCATGCCACTCTCTGCCTCTAATATTGAGAGCAGTCAGTCCTGTGTATTCCAACAGCAAACGTGCACACACAAACATCCATCACATTTTTGGCTTTGCTGCCTCTGCAGGCAGGCAGGAGGGGAAAATTGTATTCACTGGCCATGAAATGAATTTAAAACAAAAAATCAGAGAAATAAAAAGTGAAGTTTTTTTATTATTTTGGCAAGAACTGGGGTTTATTTTTCACTTACTTGTTGGGTTGGGTTTTTTCCCCTGTTTCCTAGACGTACTGGACAGACTTGCACTGTGCATAATTGCATGGGCAGAGTCTGGAGAGCTTTCCAAACACATGATGTTTATACCTCATGCTCACATTGGCTATTTTTAAATATGGCTACTTTCTGCTGCATTTTCAAAGCTTCTCCTGACACCTCATGCAGTCTGGAGCACTCTCACCTGTTTACACCACCACCAAGTGCTGGCAAACTCAAAACAAAAACATCTGATAAAAATCAAATATTATGTTGCTAACTGCAAAGTTCGTTTCCCCTCTGAAGTCCGTCTTTAATTATAAAACCCGCATAACCCATTTCCTTTGGTGTGCAGAAAGGTGTGTAATTAAACTATCAGCATAATACCTTTCTACATGTAAAACCTGCACTTATGAACTTTAACTGCTGAATAAAAACTCCTATTACATGACCATTAAGTATTATGAATAAAGCAAGTCATTGTAGTACTTGATTAATTTTTATGCACTAACCATTGTGTTCTGCACAAATTTGGTTTCTTTGGTTTCTTTTTTTGGTAGTTGTCCCTTCTCTCAGCCATGCTGGTGGATCAGTCATCTTCACCCACATCCAAGGTTGTGCTCCATCCCTCCATGCTCCTCTCCTGCCTGTGGCCATGGCCAGGGCTGTGTGGCCTTTCTGTGGTCATCATGGAGGAGGAGGGAGTTTTGCTCTGTCTCTGTGACATCCCCAGTAGATATTTCAGTGGTGCTGTGCCAGTGAAGGGGCACAGGAAGGCAGTGGGACCAGGTTCCTTCCATGGGAGAGCTTGGTGCAGGACTGAGCCCTGACTCCCTTGTCTCATCTCTGACTGGGCTGGGGAGTTTCTGTCAGCTGGGTGGCTTTTAACTGATAAGGAAAATCAGATTTGTCTTCTTTCATGTGGATGTGGCAGCAGACCCTCAAAGGACAGCCTTTATATGCTGCTTCTCTTTATAGGACCCCAGAAGCTTTGGCTTGTATCTGTTACCTCCCTCCCTGGTTCTCCCAAAATTGTCTCCGCCACACACCAGCCCCTTGCCAAGAGAAGTGGGAAAGGAAAAATAAACATCCCAGCTAAAACCCATAACTCCAAACCCCTAATTGTCAGCAGGACAGAGTGTGCCAAGAGGCTGAGGAGGATTCTGTGGTGCTGGTCCTGTTTGCCAAGGAGCCTGCACCCCACAGCCCAGAGGACATCTCCAGGACATCTCCTGCCCTACGCGCAAACATTCAGGCCCCCGAGCCATCATTCATCAGCTCCTTGCAGCCACGCTCCCATATGCTGCCTGATGATTATATTGAGGCTGATCTTTGAAGTCTGGAGTCAGGAAGTTTAGCTCAGTTATAATCAATAGCATTTCCAGCTCTTGGAAATCTGCACTAACCACTCAAGGCAGCCAGCCCGCATTATGTCCTTGTCATATGTATATATTTGCATGTTCATTAGCCATGTAGTAGCACAGCTGTATGTGGTTTCATTTAGCTTTTAATTATCTTCTTTGGGTTAGTGTTTTCATCTCTACCAGACTTAGCAAAGAAAAGAAAATCACTTAGGCAAAATAAATGCTGCTGAGCGGGTCTGGGGCAAGGAGTGCTATTTCCTTGTGCATCCTACTGTTCCATTGCAAAAGAAATGTTTGGTTCAAAAGTTCCAACTTACATTAATAATAAATCTGTCTCTTCATTTCCCCCATCATTTGCTTATCTTATTCAGGTGGTTGTGGGTGTAATTTTTCATTTGCAGCAGGTGTTTTTTTACATATTAGATAAACTTCATCCTCACAATCCTTGGCATGGATGTTTGTATTTGCTCCAACAGCTGCTGTTCCAAAGCTCGCTCGCACACAGATCAAGGCATTCTCCTCTTTTGATGGAAGTGACTCATACCTCAGATGAGCTGAAAAAAATACCATGGTCAGCTGCAGACACCTGCATTCATGCTCTGGGTTTAAAAGTTAGGATGTGGGTTCAAGCTAATTTTGTGCTCTTCGGGTTTTTATATGACACCCTTTATTTTGGTTTCTGAGAAATTTCCATTAGTGAGAACAAAACAAGGTGACTAATTTCTGTGCTGAACTTTCTTCTCCTTTCCTCCCACCCCACCCAATAAACAAAGAAAAAAACCCTGTGATTTATTTCATTCACTTCAATTACTTGTAACAAGGCCAGCCCCCGGGGTCAGAGGCTCAGGGGTCATCCTTGGTTTAACAAGCACTGAGGTTATCTGTGCAGACTGGGGTAGGATGCTGAGCCCCCTCCTCAATGCTCCTGTCCCTGGTGTGCACTGCATCAAGGCCTAGAGGAAGTGTTGATGGAGAGGCCAATCTTATTTCACAGGAGGGACAATGAGAACTGACCTTCTAATGAGCAGTGCCTTGGGAGCAGCCTTGGTGAGAAGGATGGTGCTGCAGGAGTGGTGCTCACAGAGCTTCAGCCAAATTCAGCCAAGTGCTCTCAGTACCATGGGATGGATGTAACTTCCTGTCATGCTCCAACCACAGCACAATCTCAGCTCTGCTGTCTGAAATTAGAATTTTTTTTTTTCTCTCTTACAAACATACTGGTGTAGAAACACAGACATGGCAAGAACCTGGAACTCCTCCACTGCTGGCCATTTCACAGGGCTGTGGGCTTCTCCTTGGCTACTGGAGGATAGCACTGGCCTTCTGCAGGGAAACACACCACCTGACTGATTTACTGATCAGCTTGTGCTCTTTAAAAGAGCCCCTTGAATCAACTCAGGGCAAAAGTCACAGTTAAAATGTGCCCACTACTACAGGTATATTAGTCCACCTTCATCCTTACTCTAAGTGATCTCTAACAGCCTCTTAATGTTGAGCAGAGCACGTATCAGGTGGATGAGCTAAACAAAGACCTACCTGGCTCTTTCAGCGGTGGTTGCTGGCATTTTACTGCCTTTCCCAGTATTATTTTTACTTCTTGGTTGCAAGAGTGAGACACACTCGGTGCTGATGCAAGGAGGCACAACCTCACTGGAGCTGACAGTTCTGTTTTCCTGTTACACCAGTGGTTTATTTGGAGAGGAATTCCCAACTGTCTGTTGGAGAATTGGAGCCAGGCAGCTGGGAGCAGATGGTGTCTTATCAGAGGGTGATAATTGTTCATGAATTAGACTCCTCTGCATCACCTTCCTCTCACAGACCCAGAGCAATATGTGGAGCCGGCCTCTGCTTGCCATTTCAGCAGCTCTCCTGTAGCAAGCAAAATATATTTTTATAGTTTGCTTACCTTGACACTTCCAACATTTTCCCAGCAAGCTGAAGGTGTAATTAAATGACATGCCAGATGCTGGTGTGCTTTATATTATACCACCTCTCAGCTGGGCTAGCGAAAGGGAATGAATGGAGTCTTAAGACAGCTCTCCTATAGATAGTTATTATCTCTTTTCAATAAAGAATGGGTAAGGTTGAGCAGAATGTCAGTAAACCTGTAATTTTCTAGCCTTTCAGTTACCTCTGTTCTTCTGATCCACCAGTGATGTGAAGTTTTGTTGTACTTTGTTCCGTCAATTATGGCATCACTCCAAGAAGGTGGCGGGCTCCTGCCTCGCATATGCATATTTATGATAAGGTATGTTCTGATCTTCCTGTTGTGCCTGAAACCAGGTGTTCTGGGCCTTTTGAGGTGGCTTTGTAGCATGGCCTCTTTTGGGCAACGAAGCTCTTGGAGTGAAGCTTTTTAGCTGTAGGCTGAAAAAACAAAAGCTTGCTGGGAAAATGACAGCAAAGGTTCATAACTTCAAACTTAAAGAAACAGAATTATTTTTGTAACTTTAATAATAGGATTTCTAGAATGTATTTGCTTACTTCACTGTATCTGCTACCTCAGAAGATGGATCTGGTGTATCTCTTGGCTGTTGCACTCCGGTTTTAAACTATTCAGTTTCCAGCTTTGCAGGACACCAGCCCAGTTTTCAGGGAGATAAGATGTTGGCTGACACAAAACAAACTTGCCAGTGAGATTTATTTACTTACTTGGAAGTGGAAATGTTGTTTTAATAATCCAGCCAGCCCAGGAGTGGAGGTGTTGAACATTCTCATGGCTGCTCCAACCCATGGAGAAGGGTTTGCTGTAGCTTGGTGTGGTCCCCCCTCTGCCTGCAAATTGTGCTCTGCATCTCTGCATGGAGAGCAGGCAACCGAGCCTGGGAAGGAGGGAACTGCAGGAGCAAGGACTGTTTTTCTTTCCCAAACTTTGACAATTCTTCATCTAGATATTTATATTTATCAACAGCATGTGAGACAGAATGTTTTAAGACCAGTGTTTTTAATGGGTTGGTGAATCCTGGTTGTCTGGAGGGTCAGTGGCACTGGCCAGCCCCAGCTCACAAGGAGCAGCGAACAAGGTTCTCCTCTGCTCTTTTGGGGAGAGATGTTCCATTTGACAGAAGAAAGCAGCAGCCTGAAACTTTCACTTGCTGTCAGTTCAGTGAGTGCAGGGCACCTCTTTCAGAAGTGAGGTGTGTTCATAATTAAAGATTAATTTACTAGCACTAAACCCAAAGCTTTCCTCAAAGTCTACTGTCAACAGACATGCTCCCTTTCAGTGACATTTGCATTTCTAATTGGGGCTGCTTATTACCAGAAAGCTTCTGCAGCTGAGATTTAATTTTGTATATTTACTGGTTGTTCTCTTCAACCAGTGCTCTGCAACTGGCATCACCCAGTTTCCCTTCCAGGGTGTGTGTGCCTCTGAGAGGGCACAATCCAACCTCCCACATGGGCAGGAGCATGAGCATGTCAGGAAGCCACAATGTGCCTCAAGACAATGTCTTGTCAGTGAGAAATGCTAAAAAGATCAGTCCATATAGAGCAGCCAGACTTGGAGGAGCAAGATCAGAAATGGAGAAGGCCAGCCTCTGCTTTTGTGCCATGGCTAATGTTTTCTCTGTTCTTTCAAACTGGAATATTTCTACTTCAGAAAATACATTTAGACTTAGAAATCTTGATAGGTATGTGAATCACTTTCCTTCTCTAATTTACTGATTGATATTTTTTTCTTTTGTCCTGGAAGAACTGATATTAAGGACTCTATTTAACAAGTTGCAGCACACCTTTTAGATCCTTAGTGACAGGAAATTGCTAATAAATTGGCTTCCATGTCATGGTGCTTCCCATCCCTATTTCCTGCTTTAGGGTAGGTATGAAAATCCAAGGGCAAAGTCCTGTACAAGCCATAAGAGAGACAGTACCTGCCCAGAAGAGATTGCTGCTGGAATAGACAGGAAAGAAAGGAAATATTATTATTCCTCTTTAACAGATGGGAAACCAAGGCGCAGAGAGTTGAAGAGGCTTGCCAAAAGTCAGACAGAAATCTGAAAACAGCCAGGAACCGAATCCAGGTCTGCTGAGACTCAGGCCAGTGCCTTAATCACTCGACTCCTCATAGTTATTTTATTTCTGCAGTTGTTATTCACTAGGATAGACTATGAAATTTTTGCCTCTAGCTATAGCTACAGTGCTCCTACAGCATCTTCCACCCTCCATGTAATTCCTCTCCCTTTTTTTTCCCCATGTGTGTCAAAAAAGTCCCTCTCCCTGCTTATGAAGGTGGTCAGCAAAGCTCTGCCTTCATTTGTGTGCTCCAGCCCTGACTTGCTTCACAAACAAATTCCTTTCTTTTCCAACATAGATTCCATTTGCCCACAGCCCTGTGACAATTCCTGCCTGGTGCTGAAAGCGCCGTGGTTCTCTACAGAACCTTCACAAGGGTGCTGTGAAAACCTCCCAAAATGAGATGCTCAATCCTTGGACAGGAAGAATTTGTGGGTGCTCCCACACATTCCAGCCCAAAGCCTGGCCACAGACCCTGCACACAGCTCAGGGCTGCAGGAGTTTAAGCAAAGAGCTTATGCAAATCCTCTCCTATCCATCATGGAGGGGAGTCCTTCATACTTCAGGAATGATGGGAGAAACAATCTATCGATATTCCGTAATGAGCATAAATGCCCTTTATAAATTGTTTCCCTTTTATTGACTCTAAAGCAAATGTAGCCGTGAATGCTGTACATTAATACATTTTATACCTTCTAATGGTTTGATGGCCTCATATATCCAGTAACGCTAAGAATAATCATTAGATTGTAAGGAGTGCAAAATATGTTTTATCACTTGAAAATGGAATTCCTTCTTGAAAGGTAAAACCAGTGGTAGATCATTGATTTGAAAGGTCAGGGTTAAAAAGCTTATTAACGACTGGGTTAAGCTCTAGTAAAATTCTTTGTTTTACTCAGCTGTATGAAGCATTTAGCTAAGTGAGACTCTTCATTAGGACATTAGTGCTTTTATACTAGCTGTGTAAGGTAAGAATCAGTAATTTCCAGCTTATGCTCAGAAAAAAGGCATCGAAAGTGGCACACACTCCAAATAACACTAGGTGACACGTGGCCGTGGGTGCAATGGAAAACAACTGCTGCAGCATCCAGGGGTGGGGGGCAGCTGGTGTGAGCAATCTCTACCTCTCCCTGTCCTGTGTGGGGACCCCCAAGCAAGCCTTGGCCAGGCACATTAATCAGGTTATCAGATATATCAGGTTATCAGACACATCATGTTATCAGATGTATCAGGTAGTACACCAGATGACCAGGTAGAAATACTGGCTTGGGTTCCAGATGCCACACAATCGTGTCAGGATGCCACAATGCTGAGTTAGTGAGCCCCAGCTCCCTACAGGGGTCTGGATTAGCTAAAGTATGATGTTCACAGGGCTGCAATGCTTCCTGCCTCTGAGACAGGGAGTTTCTGCCCTGGGAAATGTGCCTGTCCCTCCCACCATTCCCTGATGTCACAGCACATGGAGAAAGGCTCTGTATTTTGGGTACAGCAACAGTGCCAGCTCAAGCTCATTGTGATTGCCCTCTATCCCTCTCAGCCATCAAAGCACAGACAGATCCCAGAAGCAAGGCAGGGTGGGACCATGGCAGGGGATGCTGCTCAAGAGTGATGGGAATTTTTGAGGTCATGTGGGAAATGTGGGTATTTCAAGGCCCACATGAGCAGAAATGTTCATGCCAGATGAAAATAAGAAAGGTTGTTGTCCAGCACCACACTGTCTGACCTTGAAGAAGTAGAAATAATTAGGAAGAAATTCTGACCTGTGAGGGTGGTGAGAACTTGGAACAGATTACCCAGAGAAGCTGAGGCTGCTCCATCCTGGAAGTGCTCAAAGCCAGGTCAGGTGGGGCTTGGATCAGCCTGATCTTGTGGAAAGTGTTCCTGCCCATGGCAGAGGGGTTGGAATGAGAGAGGTTCAATCTGGAGAGAGAAGAAAAATAAAATCCCTGTAAAGATCATTAACCATTGGAATGGGTTGTCCAACTATGTTGTGGAATCCCTGAACCTGGATGTTTTCAAGACCTGAGGGGCCACAACCCAGAGCACAACTGTCACCAGCCCCTCAAGGAATGTTCTGTAAAATCCCACAACAGAAAGCAGTGCCAGTGGAAAACGTAGCAAAGATTTCCAAAGATGCCACAGATTCCAAAAGCTGCGATGTCAAAACCACTTTCTGGTTCTGTCAGTTCAGCATTTCCACAGACATTTATTTTGGACAGAACAGAGGAAATCCAGTTGGAAGAGACCTACCAGGATCATCAAGTCCACTTCAGTGCTGACCAAAAGTTAAAGCCTGTCAATGACAACTTTGCCTGTTTGTGAGGCACTGACCAGCCTGGGGCACTGATCACCTCACTTGGAAGATGGTTCCATTGTTCCTCTTGAAGGATCATGAAGAAGATTATTCTCTTGCCAGTATCTTCTTCCTACACTTGTCCTCATCGCTTGCTACTTGTTTCTAACAAAAAAAGAGAGGCCTAAAACTGTGTCATACCATGTTAAGAAGGTTTTTAAATGTTTTTAATGGAACAAAATAACAATACAGAATATAATATCCACAGCATGTGCTTGGTGCAATGTAATTGCTCTGGGATACTCAATTCTTTTCATATAAAGCAGCCGTACCAACACAACCATCAGAACAACTTTAATATTTTATAGTGAAATTAAATTGCAGATTAAAACAGATGGTTTGAACATTTCATTACCAGCCATGGTGCTTATTTGCTGACCATTGGCTGGTATATGTAAACATATAAAAAGCAAAAGAGCCCTTGGATACAAACCATACTCTCCCTCAGCTTTTCATTCATGGTTACAGCATGGTTATGAATGTTATGGATCCAGACAGGGTCTTTAAATGTGCTGAATTCAATTTACTTGTACTGATGAAAGGAAGAGGTCATGGAAAGTGCAGAATGGGTGGGAAGAGCACAGAATATTTGTTAATTGTCCTGCCGATGCATTTCAGCTCACAGCTAGGCAGGTCCAGAGCTTCTGCACCCTTGTGGCACAGAAACCTGGCACCAGGACACCTTCCACCATCCCAGGCTGCTCCAAGCCCTGTCCTTCAACACTTCCAGAGGTAGAGCAGCCACAGCTTCTCTGAGCAACCTGTGCCAGAGCCTCACCACCCTCAGAGGAAAGCATTTCTTCCTAATATCTAATCTAAACCTACTGTCCATCAGTCTGAAGCCATTACTCCTTGTCCTGTCACTCCAGGCTAAGGTAAATAGTCTCTCTCCATCTTTCTTGTAGCTTCCTACAGGTACTGAAGGCCAAAATTAGGTGTCCCCAAAGTCTTTTTTCCAGGTTGAGCCATCCCTGTGCTACAGGACAGGGCTGGCAGCTTGTGACAGAGAGGGCAGCACCACCAGCCCATCAAACAAAAACAACCTGTCCTCACTGAATGAGTTAACTCTGCCTTCAGAGCCATTAAATAAAACCTTCACAATTACAGCAAGTATTTCCCCATGTTTCCAATGTACCAGCTGCACTCAGCAACGTTGCCCCAGGTATTTAATTTTTCAGATATTGTCAAACAAACAGAATTCTACTCTAAAAATAATTACGAACAAATCTATAAATGTATTTAGCTTTGACAGAGCTGAAGTGAATAGATGTTTCTTAAAAGTGTAGAAGCCATGCTTTCAGACGTTTTCCATGCTGGTTACTGCTGGGTTGGTGAAAATGTAAGGATTTCAGGAAGCACGAG